AAAATAAAATAAATAAAAAATAAAATAAATAAAAAATAAAATAAATAAAAAATAAAATAAATAAAAAATAAAATAAATAAAAAATAAAATAAAAATAATAAATAATAAAATAAATAAAATAAATAAAAATAAAAAATAATCCAATAATTAAATTTTGCTTACCTTGACGCGTCGAAAAGATATTCGATTGATAGCATACAAAGTTTAATATCTTTATCAATTTCAGTTTGCTGTAATTGATAAATAACGTTTCTGCAATGCGTCATCAAAAGGTTACAAAGATTCAAAACGGAAGACAAAAAAAATTTTTTTAACAATGATATATAGTAATAAAGATACAATAATGATTACCTAACAAATTTAATATTAACACTCATAATGTCTATCTTTTCATCAAAAACCGAGAACCAATTCTGTGAAGAAAAAATATTGGAACCGTCCGGAGGAAAAGTCTTTACCGGAAATTTGAATCCATAATCATTCATTTGGTTCATTTGGTTCATTTCTGTTGAAGTAATCTTAGTAGTAGTGATATTAGTTGTCATCCAAAAATTGATATTTGCGATGGATTCATTGGCAAGCTTAACATTCAAAAAAGTGTCCGTAATCAATGGATTCGAAGATGAATAACCGGGATTGAATGTAAATCCAGCAAATGAAAAACAGGCGTATATAAGCTCCTTACGAGATTGAGGAGATGTTAAATCAAATAAGAATGTGCGAATATCATCAAATAATGTAACGCGATAAGGGTCTTCTATTTCTAATTCATCGGCTATAAAAAAAATTTATATTATTAAAAGATATTTAGATAAATATAATAAATTTCAGCGTTATTAAAAAAATATTCTGTAAAAAAGTTACTCACAAGTACGAATTGAGAGCAATTCAGTATCACGAATATTTTCTGAATTTACCCATTTTTCATAAATATCACCTGTCAATTCAATAAAAATGTCAAAAAAAAAAATTGTCAACTCTTGGCAAAAAAAAATAATAATAACAAAATTATTTAAAATTATTTCTTTGAAGAAAGCTTACCTTCATGTGATTTATCACTTGGAACATTTTGAGAAATATTTAGAAAAGGCATGTCATGTGGTTCATCCTCACTCACTTTAAAATAATGATATATTATAAATAACATATTTGATCAAATTAATGAAATAAATTAATTAATAAGGCACCTTTTTTTTCATAATAAGACCATCCTTTTGCACCCTAAAATATTAATAAAATATTAAATAAAATTGTTTGTAGGAAAGAAAAAACGAAGGAAAGAAATAATATTCTTCATATTAAAATTATTAAAATATTTACATCTTCACCGAATCGGGACCATTCAGCTTCCCAAAAACTTTCAAATTTTATTAAACGATCATAAAAATCTAGACTTTGCAAATTTTCTGGTACAAAAAATATCAACTCCATTACAGCTTGCCAACAAGAATATGCTCTTTCAGTGTATCCTATATATTATTATTATTATTATTATTATTATTATTATTAACAAGAATAATAATAATTATTATAATAATTATAATAATTATTATTAAATAAATAATAACAAGAATTATTAAAGAGTTCAAACCCGATTGATACATGAAAAAACATGCTCGGTGAAAAACGTGAATCATAATTCGTTCTAATTTGAGTTTCTCTAAAGAATAATTGTTATAAAAAAAAATTTTGAGTTATACATTACATCTCCCTTTTCTTTTTGCTTATAAAAAAAAAAGAAAGAAAGAAATACAATATAATCAACATAAACAAACATTGCCAACCATTAGGATCACTTATAATTAAAGTTTCTTTTCTAAGTAAATGTAAACAATCTTCAAAAACTTGAATGCATTGACTAACTGTAAAAGAAACAAGATTTGTTTGTCTAAAATTAAGATATTGCATCCAAAGTATAATGTTTCTAGAATTTTCCTTTAAAATTTGATCCCATTTTGTAAGCAATTTTGGTACACTGGAATTAATAAAAAAAAAAAATGATTAAATAAAAATGATTAATTAAAGTAAATAAATTATTATAAAATAAATAAATTATTATAAAATAAATAAATTATTATACAATAAATAATAATACGCACTCCCAAATTTGTTCACAACATTTCATATAGGCAGAAAGTAAAGTTGGATTATTAGGATTGGCTTCAAGGGCTCTTTCAAAAATACTAAGCTTGACTTCATTAATGCTTAATCTTATATCAGCTGCATCTGCTTTTTTGGATTTTCCAAATTGTGAATTTTTTTCTTGAAATTCAATAAATTCCAACCATAAATTAATATCATATGGATTCTAAAATATAAATTTGTAATCATAAAAATGATTAAAATAAAATAATAATAATAATAATAATAATAATAATTGAGATTTAATAATTTTCTAATATATAATAATTCTAATAATTTTAATTGTTTGAGAAATTATTAATATACCAGATCCAATTGGACATTAAAATATTTTATCTTCTCTCTTATAAATTCTTCAGAAATTTCTTCCTGTTCATCCATAGAATCAACGAGTTTACTTTTTTCTTTTTCCTTTTTTTGTTCCTTTAAACCACCTTTTTTTTTCCTAATTATAAAAATAAAAAATAAATGTTATAAAAAATTGTTTATTATTATATTTGACAATAAAAAAATATATAGTTAAAAAATTAAACAAACTTTTTGGCTTCCTTTTCTTTTATAGGTTTAAAAGGATTCAAATGTCTAAATTCCTTTAAAATTAATATAATCAATATAATCAAATATAATCAATGAAATATGGAATTAATAAATTATTAAGTAATAAAATACTTTTGGAATTTTTTCAATTGGTTTGGAAATTCCTTCACGTTTTTTCTCTTGCTCAAGAATAGTTGATGATGATGATGATTGTTCAGGAAGTGCTCTCTAATTAAATTTTAATTAGAACTTTATTCAATCATATTGCTTCTTATTATATATTATATTATCATGAAATAAAAGTTGACAAATTACAAATAAATTTTCTTTATATCTTCTCTTTCTTTCTTCAAAATTCAAATAATGTTCTTTTCGAGGTGGACTACGTTCATAACGACTCCCACCACCACGTTTCTTATTAGAAACTGAGCGATCATCCTCACTGGATCGTGAATGATCCTTTTCTTTTTTCTTTTTGCTACGTTTAGAGGGTCGATAATCTTTATTAATATATTCATTATTATTGTACCCTCTATCAGAAGATTGTTCGTCTTCACTTTCATCACGCTTTTTGGATTTTAAAGATTTTTTATCTAATATATTAAATGTTTAACGAGATTTATCAGTGAACTTTAATTAGAATGCCAAAAAAAAAAAGAGAGAGAAATGGTACCCACTTTTTTGTTTAGGTGTAATATCAGGAAAGGATGAAAAAGATGGAATTTCCGATTCTTTTGGTATTAATGACATGATTTATGGTCTAATGATTCTAATGTGTTAATGAGAACGAAGATTATCTAATAAATAATTCGCATAGATTTTGATCTACATGTTACACAACTATTTATATTCGTTTTACAATTAAATTATGATCTTTCATTTTTTGATCATCATGTTACACGAATTTTATATATAGAAATTCATATGTTTTTACGTTTGCCTATAATGTGTCACATGAAGGACGTGACCATTTACCATGATATTTGAGCGTCCTTATCTTGGACCCCCGGTTTAGGATATTATTATGGACCCCCGGTTCAGGATATTATCATGGACCCCTAGGGTTCAGATCTTAAATATTATTGGCTCATAACACATATT